ATCGAAAAGCCTGGCTTTATTCTCTAGCTTGTTCTTTCATAAAACCAATAAAAGCCAATAGAAAATTCCTCTACACACCTTAGTAAATGTACTTGGTACAAGTACTTGATCAAGAACTTGCCAAGTATCATTACTTGACTTGCTTCAGCCAAGTACTTAGACAATTCAATTACCCTTTTCTTTTCCATTGATCGCTTGTATATAAACACCACAATATCAATCGTTATACAAAATAAACTTATATATTTCTACGGAGTTCAACAAACTTATTAGCCATGCATGTATTTGCTCTATAATAGTAGAGTACGGCTGCAGAATACATAAAAAATCCAAAATGAAGATAAATGGAATAAATATTTGACTGAAGTTTTTCAACTAATTTACTTGCATTGTGCCAGACAAGTACATTTTACATTTTACTTGGCAAGTACTTTCTCAAGTACTTGACAAGTAAAAGTTCACCAGTACTGTCCCCATTACTTAACCAAAGTACTTGGCTCAAGTACGTTCATTAACGCACTAGTATAGAAAGAATTCTCAGTTAATCAGAGCTTTCTAGTATTATAACATATATTATAGTCTCTTGTTTTTCATGTATCCGATCCTCTATTATTAACAAAAATCGCATTAGAATTAAAAGAAATTCCATAACGATCTAGGGCTTTTCAAGAGAGTTACTAATAACTTTTTTAGAATTATCAGGTACATAGGCGGATATTTAGTAAAAAAGGACTTTTTTTTATTTTTCATTATGATGCCGAAGAGATCCATATATCAGTTAATTATTCCTAGAATAACAACTTTTTATATCAACTAAAATAATGGGAAAAAAGTCATACTAAAAATATAGAATGGAAATATCATGATAGAAACATCAATCTTTCTATATCTAAATTAAATATTCATATTGAAAATAATACCAATGTTAAAGTATAATCCTTTGGACTATCTACTAATGGAAAAATAATCTTGTTCGAGTTTAAAATCAAAGAGCAAAAATATATGCTAAAAAATTTTCCAACATTTATCTTTTTTGTATGATGAGTTTCCATACGGCTTCATTCACATCCAAACTTTGTACCAATCTTATTCTATCGAGAGTGCATCTATACCTCATGCATAAATGCTTCTATGCTTTACAATCGGTTTACCAACAAGCCTCGATTTTGAAGTAAAATCAATTTTCCTCCATCAAGAAAGTATTTTTTCTCGATAGAAATACCACATTCAGAATCAGTGTATCGAGTTGTATCTCGATAAAAACAGCGAATTAAGAACTGAATTATTTTTCTAGAACTAAGTCTACTACTATTATCATAAAAACTTGCCATCTTTCAACCTTCTAAATACTGAAGAACTGATTCTTGTTGTCTACGAATTTATTTCAAGCTTTGTTTCTATTGATATGTTTTATCTGGTTTTCCGAGTTTAGTTAACTACTCGGTATAGTTCCAAGAATATATTTTCCATGGTAGAAGGCCTCTTTACAGCGAAAAGGACTAAACTGTCTCCTTGGTGATGCTCCTCAAGAAGACCGGCCAACTATCCTGCCAACTCCGACATTCTCTTACGATAACATGCTTGCACTTTCTCGAGGAAAATTACTTTCGCTTTATGGAAAATTAAAAACTTGATAGCAATCGTGTTGCATCAGATGTCTCTAAGTCCAAAAAAGTGTCAACTGAGTTTTCTCACATTTTTTGTGTAAAAAATGACTATTCTCTGTACTGATTCTCTGATAATTTTCTATCATAAAGGAAAAAATTAGTATTTAGTAATCATTGGGAAGTACGTGACAAGTTAAGCACCTAGCAAGTACTTGATCAAGAAGTTGCCAAGTATCATTACTTGACTTGCTTCAGCCAAGTACTTACCATTTAGTAATCAGTATTTAGAAAGTTGAAAGATGGCAAGTTTTTATGATAATAGTAGTAGACTTAGTTCTAGAAAAATAATTCAGTTCTTAATTCGCTGTTTTTATCGAGATATAACATTTTTGGTCATAATATGATGCTCCGTTTAAAGCGAAATGAAAAAACTTCATACCTTTTGAAAGTAGCAACAAGAGCTCGAATTCTTTTCACTAGGACACTTTACTCTATCGATGGCCACAATATCACTGAAAATAGAGGTGGACATCGGAGAATGTTCCCTTGTTGCTCATCTTTGATACTTTTTAAGAAAAAATGATTTATGAGCAAAAAATTCTGATATCCTCCTGCTCTTAGAAGAATGCCCACTGCATACACCTGTCTTGATAAAAAATCAAACTACTTGCGCAGAGCAATGTTATTGTTAATGATTCTTTCATCAAAGATTGATGCGCGAAATCTCATACTATCTTTTACAATAAAAATTTAAATCAAATAATGTACTAAATCATTAGGTATAAATAGTCAATCTAATTTAAAAATAACATACGGCTAATTTTAACTTGTTTTATAAAAATTAATTTAGTAAGTGATGTTGTGAGTAACAGAACAACAACAATTTTATCCTGAAAATTAAATTTTTCTAATGAGTTAGAAGAGAGATGCTTTCATTTCGTTATTGTTGTTCTTTTATATAAATTGTCTCTTTAAAAGATTTTTTTTTCTCTAATTATATTAAATGCACAGATGCAGATCGAAGAAAATAATCATGTTCAAATAAAAAATGAGAAACTTGAGTAATTAAAAACATGTGCATTCGTGTTTGAGAAGAAAAGAAAGAGAAACGGTTTAACGCCTATAGAATAAATAATATGATCGAAACAAAAACCACTGAAGCAGAATCCAAAAAATGTTGTAAAACAAGAGAGTACTTTTTCAAATTTAACAACGTACTCCATTGTTTAATAAAAAATGATTTTAACCGACTTATTTATAACTTCATAGTTTTAATTATTTTAAAAAGTAGTACAAGTAGATGGCATATAATTTATTTTCCTTTTTGACTCTTGTCCCTTCATATTCCCCATCTGGAAAGTAAAACTCTCCCCTATAGAGATCTCCATCTCCTGTTCATTTCAGAATGAAGTAAAATGTTCTGCAAAAAAAAACGAATCCATTCGCTCATAATCTATCTCTTCTTCTTTGTACTACAGAATCTGTGTTTACGTTATATTATAGAGTTAATGTGTATAGTGTCGTTAACTGTTATAGATTGATTTTTGTTTTAAATAGCTTTTTGTAATTATAAATATAGACAAACAAGTTGTTCTCTAGAGACAAGATATTCATTATAGTGTCCGACGACAGTTCATTTTGAATAAAAACATCTTCATTCATATTAAATGAGATTGAATGAAAAATATAAAGGTAAAAATATGTCAAAACTAAACGACTACAATTAAGACAAGATAAAAAGACGAATAAATTAAAACAAACGAGTTTGAGAAAGATACTCAAATATAAGCGTATTCTTTTCTTGCAGAATCTTTTTTTTATTATAAAATTTGGATAGCTTAGATCAAGATGATCTTGATGAATTGAAAAAAGGCTTTTTTTTTGCTGATTTTGTATCTCTCGATTTATTCCAAATTTTATCTTTCCAGACACGAAATTTTTGAGGTTTATGAAAAACTAGTAAAACAGCATTTTCAACAATTAGCTAATTGAAATGAAATACAGTAATGGTCATCTAAATTATATACAAGAAACTAATGGCTCACCGTTAACCATGATCCGACTACCTATAATATGCCCAAATTCTACCGGTTTCATTTGGATACTGTCTGAACACAACAGTTAGACTTTATCGCTTCACTTTATATTCCACTGAATGACAATAGAGTGTACTATCAATATGAACTGATTGCATCCACTCATTATTTATCTAACAGAGCAGCAAGACATATCTTCAAAGCACTCGTCCAGCCCAGATGGACGGATCAGAGTTAAATAGTCTTCAGTACTATGTTGAAATATCTTAAAAATGTCGAACCTATCAGATAGAATACTAATTTTGAGCCAAGATATTAGAAACATTTGATTTCTTCCATTGATATTCATAAATCTCAGAATTTTTTCGTCTAAATTTGAACAAATCATTGTTGTATTTGAATCCTCTTTGAACACTTAAATAAAAATAAATATTACTTTTTGTTTATGTCATGTTACATTTGTTTTTGGTGTGTATCGGAACGTAGTTTGACTGGCCAACGTTATATAGAAGCTGTTAATAATGATTGGTGGTTGGTAAATACAGAACAGACAAATCGAAAATAAAAGGTCAGAAAAAACACACATTCAAACTCTATTAAACTCTCGTTTATTCGTTTGTTTTTTTATTAAGAGAAAAGCAAAAAGTTAGTGAAGCAAAGAGAGAATAGGAATTTTCTTTTTACTTCCGTTTGACATGAAAATTGATTGAAGATATTAACGAAATAAAAAGAATAATGTTGTTGTATATGGTTCTATAATGATGTCAAATGACAACAGAACAGACTATAGTTGCCGATTTTCTCATCTTTTCAAAGAGAATGAGAGAAATAAAAAACTTGAAAATATTGCTGCTGCTTAAAATAGTAATAATGATAGAAAGAAAGAGAGAAAGAGAGAAATTTCTATTGAAAAACACGAAAAAAAAACGACAAGGGACATCAAATGAGCAATGATGCGAACCGATTCGCTGCACTACGTTTTTTCTCTCTCTATTTTTTAATCAAGTTCATGTTTTCAAGAGATTCGATCGTACATAACTACTTCAAACGAGAAGTAAAGAGAGAGAAAGTCTATTATATTCTATCAACGAATCATTAACCTCGCGTTGAGTCCCAACTGGGCAGTAGTGTATTTTTCTGTTATAACTCATGGTTTTCTGACGATAGTGTCTATTTTTGTCAATCATAAGCAGCAAGCGAAACGATCGCGCTCTATTAAGCAGCCCGAAACGTGCACGACGCGCTTCATTGCTAGTACCATCATCATCCTGTAGTAAAAATCGAACAACTTTTTATATATATATTTTTTTCTCTCTCTCTCTCTTTGACAACCGCAAAATTTTTATATAAAAAACTCATGTTTCCGTTCAACCAGTTCGTTGCAGCTCAGTACAGATATTCGAAATTTGGTAGGTATTATGTTTTTTTTGTATTTGTATTTTAAGAAAAAAAGTATATCCGTCCTATACTTCTTTTTCTACTTCTTTAACTTCTCGTCCTACTGATGCCATACATCTAAACATTATTCTTACTTGTTTAGGACATGGTGGTATTAATCAATTAGGAGGAGTGTTTGTAAACGGAAGACCATTACCAGATATTGTTCGTCAAAGTATTGTTGATCTTGCAAAACAGGGTGTACGTCCATGCGATATTAGTCGACAACTTCGTGTTAGTCATGGCTGTGTCTCAAAAATTCTTGGTCGGTAAGTCATTTCGTATTTATTTCTATTTTTGAATAGTGAAATATCCTAAATAGAATAAAATTTTCATAATAAAAGACTTTTGAACTATCGTTATATCTCTCAATCCCGTTACTAAATTGTATTTTTTGTTATTTAGATTTCATGAGACTGGCTCTATTAAACCTGGCATTATTGGCGGATCCAAGCCAAAAGTGGCAACACCCAAAGTTGTTGATGCAATTACAAATTATAAACAACAAAGTCCCACAATGTTTGCTTGGGAAATACGTGAACGATTAATCGCCGATGGAATTTGTGATCTAGATAAAGTTCCGAGTGTTAGTTCGATTAACAGGTAAAGCTCTCAGATGAAAATGCGTTTGTTTTCTACATTCTAATGTGAAACTTGAGTGTCTCATAGGCACAAAAAATTGGAGATTGGAGATTTAGTTGACTAGAAGATCCAAATATTTGTCTAGTCCAAAAACTATATAATGATACCGACATGCCGTCTTCGAACGAGAAGTAGATCAAGAAATAAAATGTTTATATCTACACTCACACACTGTCTCTATTTCACATAATTTAATATAAGTAAATACCGTTTATTCTAATAATGATTGAATTTCTGTTATTATCCCCTTTCTCTTCTTTTAAATTCGAATAGCACTATATTTTGACAGAAAACAAGTAATCGCCAATAAGATTGATGATCTGACGATGTTTTCAAATGTCGAATAACTAATGATTCGAAACACAATTTCTGATTGTTGTAAATAGAAAATTTTATTTTATTGAAAATTAAAGCCGACACCCATTTTCATTTGTTTTCTATTGTTCAAAAAGAAAAAGAATGAACAAATTAAACTAATATAAAAATAAACATCATTTGTAGAGCGATCTTTATTTTGATCTATACAATAATTGTCTCTATATTTTAAAAGAATTCTATTGATTACAGATAAAAGCATACAGAACGTACTAGCGAACGTGGTACACTCTCGAAATCTATTAGCAAGATGTCTTATTTTCTGAAAAGATAAATAAAGATTTACCTTTACTAATTGAGAATTATTTCCGTAGTTGATAGTTGTAAAATAACGTAATCGAAATGATAACTTTCCATAGTTTAGAATTATAATCCAAGTTTTAGAGATCAGATTTGTGCTTATGATCTTATACACTAGAGTATTGTACTTTAAGAATATATATTGTAAGTTAACGAATTAATAAACACGTTTAATTGAATTAATTATTCTTAAACAAATATTTGTTCAAATTATAATTTATATTCCGTTCAATTAACTTTTCATATTAGTTTGTAATACGATCTAAACTATAGATGAAGAAAAAGAAAGCGTCAAAGTCCATTAGTGCACAATATACATATATAATGATGAATATTATACTTTTTAGAATCGTTCGTAATAGAGCTACTGAAAAACACAAAGATATTTCATCATCGACTACGTCATGCTGTCCATCTTCAACATCTTCAACAGATGATGAACATTATGAAGAAACAGGAAGAACTACATCTTGTTCATCAGGTACAAACGATGGCAACGGTTATACTATTCATAGTTTATTAAATTATTCACAATTTTCAACAGCAGCTTTAAATGGAAATTATGTGCATGAGAATAAATCACGAAAATCGTATCAATCACCAGGATCACGTATATCAACCAATAGAGGACCTACAACAATGGCTCTTAATGAAACAGGTAAATTTTTTTATTAGAAATGTATGTCTGTTGTGAATTACTTTAATTCTCAGTGTCGGATTTTGATCTAACTTATTCAATGGAATTTGAAATGTTAATGTTGTGTTGACAAGTTTCTAATAGTCACTGTCTATCTTGACAATGTGTCTCTGATCTTGATATTCTTTTCTATGACAAATGAACTTAACAGTGTACACGACTATGCTTTTAATTTTTTTATCCCATTAGAGAACGAAGACTCGTTTCATTCTTCTTCATCTGTTTATAAAAATATATAATCTATATCTTAACAAAGAAAAATGACAAATTCCTTGTGGAATTACTTATAGTCTGTCCATATTCTTCGTCTCAATTTCAACCATACTTTATTTAATTTTTTTGTTTCTATTTCCATCCTTTTGAACAAATTCAATAATCGAAATAAAAAGAAAACAATAATAGTAACAAAGAAAAAAAAAATTAATTAAATAACAGATGAGATTAGAAGTTTATCTATAATGATAGAATAACTATCAACGAACTCTAATTATATGAGAAAAATAGAAACAACTCAACAAAATTCAATTAAATCAAAACTACAAATAAAGTCTAAAAAAATGTTTTGTAAAACCAAGGAGTTTGACGGATTTTTTAATTGAATAAGGATAACTATTTGAAAGCTGTCAAAATAAGGCCAACAAGCAAAACTGCTCTATAGCAATAATGTTTATACTACGACAATATATTCTCACATTATAATCATCGCAGATGCCTGTATATTTTACTTTAGATTCAATTTTTAAACTCTTAATGAATGGATCGAATAAGGAGACTTTCGATTGAAGAAGATAACAGCAGTGTTCAGACAAAATATGTCTGTGTTTCTTCTGGTGTATTTCTGATTCGTCGACACATTCATTTTTTTTCCTGACTCGTCGACAACATTTTGGGCGGGAAGATGAAAGATGTCTGTGAACCACCGACACTATAAAGTGTCGACGAATCAGGACTGAATCTTTCATCTAGGTTGTTTTCATGCAACATTACATTCTCTTTCTTTGTACTTTTAGGTTTATTAAATGTTGTACCATCAACGACCACAAACACGTCAACTGATTTAAAACGCTTGTCAGCCGAACAAAATGAATGTTTGGAAAAATGTTTTCGAGAAAATGCCTGGGCAGATAATTGTCATTTAGAAAATATTAGTAAATTAACTGGTCTTGAAGAAAATACCATAAAAGTATGTTGTATAGTTATAAAAAATAAAACAGTTTTTAAAAAAACAAAAAAAAATTTGAATACGTTTAGGGTTATTTTGAACAACGTCGTAGCAAATGGCATAAAAATAATGGAGGCGCATTATTTAATTCTTATTTATCCTATCCAACATGTGTTAACACTAATGATTTTTCATCACAAATAGCGGATTCATCATCCGGTTATGCAAACAGTTTCATTAGTGCTCAACAAAATTTTCCCGCTAATACGTCAATTAAACATGATACTGATACAATATCTGGTAAATAGTATACATTATTTTTTGATTTTTATCTCTAAAATAATCATTTATATTCTATTTTAGGATCAAATGAATTATTTTATTCTAATCCTGCAGTATCAAGTTTTTCAATTCCACCTACTCACGCAAATAATAGTGGAGGTAGTCACTTACTTTTATATAGCATGAGATTGTACAATTGTATATTTTAATGTTTTTCTATTTATATTAGGTGTTGATTATTATAGTCAGTATTCTTATCCCAATTGGCAATATACTGGATTTAAAACGTAAATGTTCACTCATATAACTAAAAATGATTTAATATACAAATTATGCAATATTATTTTTAGATACTAATGAAAATATCAATTATAATAATCTACAAAAGAAAATATATTCAATTTAGTCGAAATACTCAGAAAATGATTAATTCATTTTCAAATTTATTTTTACACATCATGACGATATATTTTTCAAATGTAAAATAACACTAATAATTATCAGAATAAAATAAAAATGTATATTATTGAAAAAAAAAATGTGCAATTAAATGGAATCTTCGAAAGATCAAACACTAAATAAAGTAAATATGATCCCGAGCAGTAACAAAAACTGGACTGAAATGTCTAGTATTAATCGGGATCTTTGACTAAACACTTAATTTCTCAAAATTTTTATCTGAACTTCGCTTCACACTCAAGAATGATTTAAATTTGATTATAGGTGGCGTTATTGCGTTTCTACCTTTTTTTTTGTTTTGCTCATATCTCAGCAACCAAAGAAGCCTTAGAATTGAATTTTTTTATGAGCACATTGATACACTTACTAGTACTACTCTCTATTTCAATGAATGATGGAGTCGGTTGTAACTTGAATAACTTCTGCACGAAAGCAGATAAAAATGTGCGGTTTTCGCTGTTAGACATAAAAAAGATAACTTTATGCTTCGTAAGCAAAAACAAATTTCGGAAAAGTTTCTGAAGTCGGTTCTTCAAAAGATCTTTGGAAAACCAGCTCCGTTTTCAGAAAACATACAACGTTAGTAATTTTTTTGCATGCGTAGTTAGTCCGGACGTTATTCTACAAAATTATGCAAGTCCCAGCTCTCCAGCTATCGTCGTTTGGACAGGGCTTGCTTTCCCCGAGCACGTGTCTGTCTCCGAGCAGACACATCTGGGAATCTCGAAATACCACGGAATACAGGTAATCGACTACGCCGAGCATAGTGGCACCATTTGTTTTTGTGTAGAAATGAAAATAACTTCGTCAGAGGCATTTTTGTGAAAAATGAGTTTTTCGCCTGTTACCAGTAAAACTTAAAATCCTTATATCTCGGTCAAATCTCAGGCTGACTCAAGCAAACTTTCAGGAAACGTCCAGAACAACTCATAAATCATAATCGAAGACGAAAAAGGTGAATTTCAGCTGGGCATTAGTTTAAGGTTTTCCAGAAACCTTCTGAAAAACCTCAAAGCCTCAGTGTTGGCTGGACCACTTTTTCGGCTTGATCAACAATGTATGACGCCTTTTAAGCCTTTCCTGAAAATTTTGTTGAGTCAGCCTGAGATTTGACTGAGATATAAGGATTTTAAGTTTTTAACTTCAAGAACTTCAATCAAGACAACTCAGCCAACTAGATGAAAGTCTAAAAAAATGAAAACTTTCTAAACTCAAAATCTTTTTCGACTTGAACGTTTTCTTCTGCTACTATTTTGGCTAAAATTGTAGCAAAAGTGAGAACTCAGTTTATGTTTGGTACTTTCAAATGTGCTCTTTCTCGTGGTCTATAAAAAAGACTTTTTAAAACAGAAGGTGTGCTGGAGAACAAAGTTACAAAAATACGTCAAAAGTTGACAATCTCCCCGTTTCCAACAATGTGCCGAAACAAGACACGGAAAACATGACTGAAGTTTTGGTTTTGCAATTAGATAGAGCAGAGTGATCATTTCTGATCAAAACAAAACAAACCCGATCGAAAAAGCTTTTATTTTGATGGAGCTATGGGACTTTTATTGAAAGCACTACTGTACCCAAAATTTAAAAACTAATAAAAAAATACATGACAACCGACAGAAAAACTATTATTTCGCCGTGGCTTTTGATGTGAAAAAATTTGATGTGTAGCTAAAAGATAGAGCGAAATCAGTGCTACAAAATGGATAATTCAGTTTTTCTTATTTTCAAAACGTTAACTCAAGAAATCATTTTTGAGTTTGGAAAGTTTTCATTTTTTTAGACTTTCATCTAATTGGCTTACTTTTCTTGATTGAAGTTTTTAAATTATAGTTTAGGTAGAGAATTTCAAGGCGCATCTTCTGAAAAAAAAATTAGGTCGCTAGCTCAAAAACTGAAAGGGATAACTGTAAATTCAAACGGCGTCATTATTTCTGGGACACCCGTTAATTCAATCAAAGTGAAGCTAGTATAGATTTACAAAACTCATAATAGCAGAACGCATGGTTTTCAAAGAAAAATTTTCATAGCTCGTGAAAAAAAATAATAACTGTAGAATTAAAGATGATCTAAAATTTAATGAATCAAAATCTGAACTTAGAAATATTCGCGAACAAAATGAAAACATGGAAAGATATTTTGTGCCGTATTACATATTGTTCCACGCACGCTTGAACTTTTTGTAAAATCTCTCTGGAAATGAATTCAACCATTATCATTAGATGAGGACTTATTTTATTGGAAGAAATATATTTCACTGTTTGTTATAGAGAAAAGAATCCGTAAAGAGTAAACGTTTTTAGATGTTTTACATCAAAAAATAAGCGAAAACAAAAATGGTAAAATGTTGTATCTATTTTTTGACTCGATTAAACGCGAAAGGACGAAAGCAAATCGAAAAATATCGATACTATTGGCATCTTAGATCAGGGGAAAAGACTGTAGAAGAGAAGCGACACGTGATGGGCTACAGATCTACAGATCTATAAAAACACAGTTAAGTTTAAACATTAAAGTACCTGTTTAAATAGAAAAACGATTACAATTATGAAAATATGCACATAATTTGCTGTTTGCAGTTTGATTGTGCTTGGACATGACAGAAATATTATTTCATTTATTTAAATATACTCTGTTGGACTATACTGATGATGGATCGGTTTGATTCGAAAGCCCTATAATATTTTTAAATAAATGAAATATTGTTTCTGCCATGTTAATGGATAATCAACAAATTACATTCAATTTGTTTCAAAAGCCATGCGAATATTTTACATTACTAAGTATGAAAATACCAGTTTTAGTGTTAATCTGTTTCATTGAAAATAAAAAATCTCAAATTGATTTAACATTGCATTTTTTACAAAATTGTATATAACATATGATAAATACATCCGTATAATGTTAACGAAAATAGTTTTTTTTCATCACATGACATCGTCATCGTCATTAAAGGAATGTTTGGATGGTGTTGGACTTTTCCGGGATGCTCGCGGCAGTAATGAGGAAGGAGGACCTGGTGAATTTGTTCTGGAAACTGGAGGAGAACTTTGTCTCGAAGGTGGACGCTGAGATGGTGGTGGAGATGGTTGACGCTAAAATTTTAATTACCATAGAGTAAAAGTAAAAATAAAAAAGTAAAGATTTTAGTTTACCGTTCGGAGTGATGAGTCACGATTGCCGGTTACTTCTGGACGACTACCTTGATTAAAACGGCCTATACAAACAAATAAATTACATTTTTTTGAAATGATTTAAATTACTTCTTTGGACAGTTGCTAAATAGGAGCTTTTATAACGTTAGTTTTTAGTGCATATCCTTATTTCTTCATATGTACCTTTATCATCTAAATTTTGCTTGGAACTTGAAATAGGTGACTGACTGCGCTCTTCATGAACACTTTTTCGTTTGGAAGTTGATATTGGTGTGTGATTACGATCGTTATACAAGTTTTGCTTCGATGTTGAAACAGGAGATCGATTACGATCTACCTGCCCGCCCGTACTTATCGGTGATTGAGAACGTGAGTCACGGCCTATACAAACAAATAAATTACATTTTTTTGAAATGATTTAAATTACTTCTTTGGACAGTTGCTAAATAGGAGCTTTTATAACGTTAGTTTTTAGTGCATATCCTTATTTCTTCATATGTACCTTTATCATCTAAATTTTGCTTGGAACTTGAAATAGGTGACTGACTGCGCTCTTCATGAACACTTTTTCGTTTGGAAGTTGATATTGGTGTGTGATTACGATCGTTATACAAGTTTTGCTTCGATGTTGAAACAGGAGATCGATTACGATCTACCTGCCCGCCCGTACTTATCGGTGATTGAGAACGTGAGTCAGTGAAATCTTTTCGTCCGCTAATCAAAAACGACCCAATAGAAGTTATTTTCGAAATATGTGAACTTCCATATGCATTTATGGTTACCTTCCTAGCTGGAATGAAGGACGTTTGGCGGAAGTTTGTGGACGATCCGATGCAACAACGACATCATCATCGTCATCATCGTTAACTATTTTCGGTTCTTTTTCAACTGTAGGAGTTCTGGGACGATTATTTTGGCCTTTCGTCAATTCTGATCGATGTAAATGACCTCGTAATGCTGACTGAACAGTTTTGAGTGCATTCTATATATATAAAAACCTAATATAGCAAATATTCTAAGATATTGTGTAAGATAAATACATCAAAACCACTGTTGGATGTACCAGGTTTGATTTCTGTTTCATTTTCTTTCAATTTTGATGTTTTCATACTCTGCTGACTTGTTCGGGGAAAATGATTATCGGATTTATCTTTTGCCTAAAACAACAATTAAAATCACAAATTATTAAATGTGTATTTCCTATGTTAGTCATATAATGGATAAGATAGTCAAACTTGTTAGTGAGAATATTAATAGCATATAGCGGTCTTTACAAATAACAAATATCACACCAAAGCATTAAAAAACGCAGAAGAAGGCCTAAAACTAGAATACAATGGAAAATAGAGATGTGCAGGGCGTTCGTATCCTACTCTGTAGGGCAGGGTAGGACCAGGGCTTCGTCTAAAAAAGATATATCGTCGGTACAACATTGAGGTCGATCGCTAGCGACAGTTATTTTAAACTCTTTATTTTATCGGATGCAAGACAAGAAAAAAAAATAAAGAAATAATTATAAATGAAAAATTCTCAAATTTTCAAAGGGTAGGGTAGGATAGGGCCACAGGGCAGGGTAGGGCCAGGACTAAAAAACTTTTCACAGGGTAGGGCAAGGACTCCGTAAACAGTTACCCTGCACATCTCTAACGGAAAGTAGAAATTATGGATCGAATTCTTCAAAAAGAATACGTTCGTCAAACAACTTTTGAAAAATAAATTCGTTATACCTGTCCTATTTACAAATCCAGAGTGAACGATTAGAAGCAAGAATAAGAAAACACTTATTAGAGTAAATGCATGCACAATTTTAAAAAGTTGAAATTTACATACGCGATCATGAATTTTGTTATCCCACTTAATAGAAAAAATATCATCGATTAGATTTTATGTGAAAATCAATGTCAAAATATTGACACAGTAACTATTTCATCAAGTTGGTGGTAGAAATATGGTGCCACTGCAGATATACTAGGAAATAGCTTGCGAAAAAGTTACAAACTTTCAAAAAACAAGTGCATGTAACAGTTTCGATTGATCGTTAACCGATATAACAAAAAACACTTTTTTATTTACACATATTCTTGAAAATACATTTGAAACAGTATGGAGGAAACGTCTGAGAATGTTCATGCTAGAGTAGAAAATGTTCACTATTCTATGATGGTCATTTTTTGTATTCAATATTTTTCACAAAAATTCAAAGAGTTATATTGAAGACTATTTTTTATTGAAAAACTTTACTCTTTTTAAAATAACTATTTTTTCTTGAATTTTCATGAGAAATGTGGAATACAAAACATGACCATCATAAAATAGTGAACATTTTCTTCTCTAGTATGAACATTCCCAGATGTTTCCTTTATACTGTTTCAAATATATTTATATCGGCGTGGCCAGCTAACTCCGAAACAGAATTCCGTAACCGTTTTTCATCGTCTTGTTATGCCTCCAATTCCTAAACTGACTGCTGTAGAGTGTTGCGGGACATTTTAAGTTGAAAAGAAAAGTCTGGTTAACATTTTAAGACGTTTTTCAGCCTTACAACATGTATTTTTAAGAAACTGTAACCTAAACATTGGACACTAACATTGGACACTAGGTTTTTAGTGTCCAATGTTTAGGTTACAGTTTCTTAAAAATGCATGTTGTAAGGCTGAAAAACGTCTTAAAATGTTAACCAGACTTTTCTTTTCAACTTAAAATGTCCCGCAACACTCTACTTGCAGAGTTAGCTGGCCACGTCGATGTGCAAATAAAAGGTTTTATTTTGTTATATCGGTTATCAGTTAACCAATCAAAAATCGAAACCGATGGATGCCTAAACAGCTGCGAATGGAGATGCGATATCAACATGCATATCTCGATTTGGTACATTTTGAAAATAACAAGATACCTTATCTAATTTGTCATTCCGTATCTTATCGTCTGGAGTTGTAATACTAAGTTTTTCATCCTCTCTAAAACAAAAGACATCTTCTCAATTACAAAGATTGTATAAATCTAAAAAAATGTACTTGTTCCATGATGGTGTTTTAGAACCACGTCTTGCATTTTCCACCGATTGATTTGATTTTTTTTGACCTAATGGACTTGACACACGTTCCACTTCATCATGTTTTGGGGAATTTGATTTTCGCGTTGGTGTATGACGTCCGCTAAGTGATTCGTTTGATTTCGTCATATTGTTTGGTCTAAATTCATCAAGACATAGTAGACAGTCGAAGTATTTGACTAAATGATTTTATACATTCTGTGTCATCTTGTGATAAGATTTTACAAGAAAACATCACATTCCAGTTCAATCGGAACAATTTTATTAGCAGACGGAAAAGCAGTCCGCTGACGGCGACGAAACAAAAGCTTAACTATTATCAATTTATCTACCATTTTGTTGTGTTGTATCTGCTACTAGCAGTAAGCACCGATACCACAGATTCGAAAAAACTCGGAATTTTTTTCTTTCTCACACATATCTATCATCGAAAGTTATGGCTCAGAAACACTCAGTTGTCAACGAAAAATCGGTATCAGTACCATTGGTTAAAAATTTAACTATCTAAGAAACAGCCTATTAATGTAACAGTTATCCGTTACCTGAGATCTTTTCAAAGCTTTTCGAAGAGACTTTATATAGATTTACAATCTAATCAGCAAAACATTACCTAGCAGTTTTCTTGATAAAGTCATCATCCGAATCACTTTTCTTTCTTACTGACGGTGACTTTGATCGTTTTAATGATGGTGATGATGGACGGTGAGACAGATCATCTCGTTTCAAATTCGATGTACTTTGTTTAGTAGGTGGCGTCATTCGAGATGGGGACGATCGTCCACCACTCAGTTCTCCACTATCGCCTATAGCTAATTTGGATTTAAAATTATGTTCATTTCTTTCATATTCTCGCTTTAATTTCGATAATTCATTTTCTGTTTCATTCAATTGTTCTCGATAATGATCTCTGTCTCGTTTTATTTTCTCAATTGTTTCATTTAATTTTTTTATGTCTCTTTCTTTTTCATCTAGAACTAATAAAAATTAATCTTATAGCGAGATAATATTCAAAAAATCATCTCATTACTTTGTGTTTGTTTATCAACATCGTCATCAGTATTCTAAAAATTAACAAAAATAACTTTGAGAGTATAAAAATATATTTTGTCTATTATAGATTATAAACCTTGTGTTTTGGTTCTCTCGATGATACGTCTACAAGATGAAATTATACGTCTTCAATTTTCAATGATTAAGAAAAACATTTCCATCATACTTTGATTTTGATCGACTTCATCAAGTTTTTTGCGTAACATCTTATTTTCTTTTTGTAATTCTTTGTTTTCTTTGTCGAGTTTTTGTATAGCATTTTTCATTTCTTCTTGCAACGTACTATGATAATTACTAAAATATAGAAAAGGATGATGTTTTATTTTTGAAAAAAATTTGCTAAATTTAATTTTCTTTATGGTCAGAGTAAAGAGAAAATAAAATTATTTATGTACTTCTCTAGAATCTTCATTTTTTCAACTTTTTGTCGTTCAATTTCATTTTTAAGTGCTTTATTTTGAATTTCTGTTTCGACAGATTTTGTGTAGTTTGGATCATTGTGTATTTCCCTGAGAAAATGAAATATCCGATTATTCATGTGTATTATAATTATATTTGAATATCTGTACTTACGTAATCGCTGCCTCTTTCTCTTTCATTTGTTGTTCTAACTTGAACAATTTCTGTTTTAAACTTACTACAACATTCTAATAAACAGAAGAAAAACCTAGCATCGTACCAAGTGTTCATTACTGTATAATACACTGAATATTTTTCAAGTAAATAAGAAACGTACAGCTGTATTATTACTACGATCAGTTATGGATGCTATTCTTCTAAAATCACCATCCTAAAACATGAAAACAAATATATTTTTAGTTTCATATATACAACAGTGTATTCTATAAAATAAGACATTACTTTGCTGGTATCACATAGTCCTTCGATTTCTTTAATTCTTCTCGTATTTTCTTCTTCGAGACGTCGAACTTTTGCACGCATACTATTATTTTCGTCTTTCATAGATGAGACTTGCTAAATGATACCAGAACTTTCTACTCGAAAAAATTCATGATAAGATAAACTAACTTTCTTCAGTGCTATAACTTCATCATAATACTCTTCGGGTGATTTATACTTTGGATTTCCAATAAACGTTTTGTTTAATGATGCTGCAATGAAAAGTAAATAAATGATACTATATTTTCTACAATAGATGAAACGTCTAATGTATATTCAAATATTTACAATTTGATTTTGATGATAAATCATTTGCACTTTTTGGTCGGATAATATTTGATCCGTTTATATCGCCGTTTGTAGCGCCGTTTGAAGATGCAGTGGCAGCCAAAGCAGCAGTACGTAACAATTTACGCAAATATTCTGGTGTACTACGATAAGCTAATTCATTATCAGGATATTGTATATGTGAAAATGATTTTGTTTTCTTATTCATGTATGATGTAAGTCCTAGAACATATCTCACGTCAAGTTTCTCATCTGTCATAAGGGCTCTTATGCTAAGGAGGCTAAGGGCTCTCGAGAGGGGTCTTTATAAAACAAAAAAATTCTGTTATCTTTAAGGTACCCCCCCTCTTTTTTTCCCCTCGTGGGAAATAGGGAAGCCGATGTTGGATCGGGTTCTGATTTATACCAGAGATAGAACATAGAAAAAGAAAATCGATATATTTTTGCCCAGAATTTTCTGACTTGTTCTTCTATGGGTTTTCTGGAAAACTCCAGTTTTCATTGGCACACATTATGACCCCTCGAAAAAACGGTCCGATTGAGGTCAAAATTTTACCACGGATACTTCAGACCCTATCTTAGGTTCGTTTTTTTCTTTTCGAAAAATATTCTTTCCTTCTCGGGATATACGAAAAATACTGAAAATCCCATATAAAAAACCGGTTTTTCATTTTGTAAACCTTCTCACGCCGAAAGTTGAAGTCGAAAACGCTTTTTAAAGAAAACGAATCTGAGATAGGGTCTGAAGTATGTGTGGTAAAATTTTGAGCTCGATTGAACGATTTTTTCGAGAGGTCATAATGTGTGCCAATTGAAGCGGCTATTAAAAACGCATAGTGAGAAAAACATTTATTGTACACAGGGCTCTGTTTTCCAGGGATTTCCGGCAATGCTTATATCTCTAAGAAAACCCATCGGAAAATTCTGCAAAACATCTTATTTTGAAGAGCACACTTTCTTCTATCATGCTAAATATAAGAAAAAATTTTGAATATACAGAAAAGGAGAGAAAAATTTACGAACCTAAAAAATTGAGATTTTCTAGGCTTTGAAGGAAAAACTTAAAAACTTTATCATTTTTTCAAGGCAGGTCATGGAGAGCTGAAAGTGGATCTGATATTAACAAATATCGGGCTAGAAAGCTTTTGATATATCGCCATTGGCAGAAGCTGAACATCGATGTTGCCCTGAGTTAAAATTTTTCTTGCATTTCTCGTCAAGATCTTGTATCAAGAAATCGCACGAAATCGGAACACATTTCCTGAATAAACATTTTTGCTCATGAAATGTCTCAATCCCTTATTTTTCTTGCTTTTTGCTCCGTCTTTACTCAAGCAGTTACACCAGATGGCGATGGCCACTCAAACATCCCAGAAAGAGGTAATAGTGAATCTCTGAATTTTTTTGGAACACAAAGTATAAAGACAGGTTTGTAGAAAAGTTTTGAACTACTGGGTCTAATAGCTAGAGTTATATCCTTCTTTGTAAACACTAGAAAATCATCAAAAAGAGGCAAAAAAAATGTATTGCGAGTCGCTAAATAGAGAATCATAGTACGAATTTATGACTTAATCGTGAGACGAATGAATTAAAGAAGCCGACTTGGGTTATAATTCACGCATTAATAAAATTTATTTTTTGAACAAAAGTAATCTGATACTTTTTCCTCATATTCAGAATAGAAGCTAGACTGTAAAAATACCATTGCCATGTTGTAAATTTTCGACGTAGTTTTCCCGTGCACTTTTAGCTCGTGCACTTCGTCGACCAGAAGCCATTAATAATTTGTATTTTCTATCTAAAACAAAATATTGAGCATCATGCTGATATCCAGATTTCTTTTTTTTGATAACACTTTCACTTTACGGGATAGAGTCGAGTGCTAGTCACAACAGTAATTTTTCCATACTCAAGCTTTCAGCAAATGACAGTATGAAAAAATTTATGCTTTAGCTTAACTTTTGATGAAAAATCACTATCCTTAATCTCTAATTCAACCCTAAAAAACGCTTAGCCCCTTATAAGCAGTTGTCATTCAGTTGATCGATGTCATAGAAACAACCATCACGCCCTACGATTTCAATGTGTTCAATAGCTGAATTTTCTTATTTAATGGAAGAATGACCAACAATATGTCTGGGAAATTTTTTCCATTCAGTCCTAATGTATCCTATCCAAAAATGAGTGGTTATATATAGCTTAGCTGTTTTGGATGTTGAGAGTAGCGATTTATTGTCATTGTAGCTTATCTTCGCTATACTTTTATTAATTTTCTAAGTTTCAATAAAGAATAGAAATCATCTGTACTATTCTAGGTTTGCTCATTTTTATCCATCTTTCGATATCCTCAAAATGCGCCAAAAAAAAAAAGATATATTGCTCTTCATGTTGTTCTTCTTTGTCAACTTTTTTTCATACTGCAAGAAATATTTTTTTGTTTTTTCTTGAGTTCGATGTATAACAGCGCGAATTGTCTTTTTCGGATCTGATGGGACGTTTTCACTGACGATATTAACTTTCTGTTTCTTGTAGATGATTATTGCTATCAAGAAGTTGCATTTCAGGAACATTTTTTGAGATGTCAAATCGAACTTACAGTACATCTCTTTTCCTTAAGTATTAGAAGTCAGTCGTTAGCACTCTTAGATTTCCTACTCCTAGTAAAGAGGCGTACGAGTTTGTTGTATACTTTGATTTGTCGTTTTTCTTGTTTCAGTTCAAAAGCTGAAAAGATTGAAGAATATTCGATATCGATAAAAAAGCAATCAACGTGTTGCATCTCTCCAATTATATGCCCGTCTGAAACAGTTCATGCGGGTAATAAAAAGTATATGAACACATATGGCGAGAAAGGCTTTATTGTTCTGTTGTTTAGTTCCGTGTTTGTATGAATTTGAAAATGAAGCGTAGCCGTATAATGATAACTGGACCAATAATGATAACTTATACGATGATCATATCGTCCCAAAGTATATTTTCTTTAAAATGAAAGATGTTTGAAGTTTTTACATGATTTTTTTATTTAAATTTATGCTGGTCAGCGTATTAACGAGAGAACTACACCAGTATCCTAGAAATAGATCAGCAAAGTATACCAGGGTACGTTATGCAGTGACTTTCAACACTTATTTATGAGTCAATATCTTTTATTCAAGTTACTCCTAGAAACGATGATAGCGATCATGAACTTATTCATGAAGAAGATGCTGTGAATATTAAATTAGTTAGTTAAGCTTCGAATTTAGATAAAACAAACACAAACACAAACAGGCTATTAAGTCTTCTAAAAAACATTGATAGCAATATGGAAACTCCAAGAACAAGTGACGAGTGATGGCACGAAATAAATGTGAAATTAATTAATTACAGATCTACCATTTATTATTCTATCTGTATGCAACAATTACCTAGTATTCAAATAAAATGCTCAAATGCTACCGGTTTATCAAACAAACAAGTAACGAATTCAGAATTGATCATTATGTCAATACCAGACGAACTAAAACTACTATTCATTTCAAAATATGATGGTCCCGATATTTTTTGAATAACTTTTCAACGGAAAGAGCTGGAACCTTGCAGTTTTCAGCATTCGACAGAGACAGTTTGGGAAGTGAATCTATGAAAAAATTCAAGCTTCGGATTAGATTTACCATAGTAAGCCGTTCCAAGCAAAATATCCGAGCTCGCCACTCCTAGGCGGATGTCAGATTAGAACCGCCGGGCCGTCCTCTTTCACGCTATGCACGATTCAGGTTTTCATTGCCAATGGCTGAGGAGTTATAGATATTTTCCGGGGACCTATCTATCCTTCATAGTTTTGACTTGGGAACTACAAAAAGAGATGGATTTATAGGTTATCGACATCGCTGATGATCATAGAAATGTTTATTTTCTTTCTCAGGTCACAGAAAGTTCAGCTGACCCAATTTTTTCAAAATCCACTTTTTCTTGTCTGTCCATGTAAAATTAAAATTTTCATAACTCAGTCATTTTTCATCCAAACAACCTGTAGTTTTCAGGAAATATTCAAAACAAATCATGAAATATAGATCAGGTCAAAAAAATTGGGCTTGAGCCTTGGATCGATCAAAAAGTTTTCAAAGATCTCCCCCAAAACTTCGGAGATTATGTATTGTATTATGTCTTACGCACTTTCATCCTATGCGTCCTTACGCTTTTTAATCATCTCTTTTTGTAGTTCCCAAGTCAAAACTATGAAGGATAGATGGGTCCCCGGAAAAAAAACATCTATAGCTCCTCAGCCATTGGCAATGAAAACCTGAATCGTGCATAGCGTGAAAGAGGACGGTCCGGTGGTTCTAATCTGACATCCGCCTAGGAGTGGCGAGCTCGGATATTTTGCTTGGAACGGCTTACTATGGTAAATCTAATCCGAAGCTTGAATTTTTTCATAGATTCACTTCCCAAACTGTCTCTCTCGAATGCTGAAAACTGCAAGGTTCCAGCTCTTTCCGTTGAAAAGTTATTCAAAAATAACGGGACCATCATATTTTGAAATGAATAGTAGTTCTTAGATCGGATATTCAATTAATCAAATGCCCTAGACAAATTCTTTTGAAATTTCTGATAAGAATCTTATCCGATTCTTGAAAAAAACACAATTGTTTCTTCTCTTCCCTCTGCAATGAGCACCCACGTGATGTTATGTGTTTGCTTTATGCTAGATGTATTAAATCTTTCAAATATCCAGAGATCGACACAAAGTGGCCGTCAAAACACGTGTCCCAAATGTCCGTATATACTCAGAAATTTGAGCTCTATCCGAATCTTAACGTCTCAGGAGGCGGGAGACTTATTCTCGGAGAGATATGCGCGTTTTAATGAAATTTCGACAAAAATTAAAATCCATTTTTTAACTTAACGATAGAATGTTAGAGTTTCATTCAAAGTTCATTCAATAGAGCACATGAAATTCCATACGTCCACAAAATTCTGACCTCTCGAACAATCTCCTTCATCATTTTTTGTTGTTTTAACGAATTTTAACAAAAACTCATTTTTGGTTTGTTTGTGCACTTCTTTTCTTTACACTTTGTACTAACAATCATTATTTATTTTTTCAAACATGATACTTGATAGAAAAACTATGAAAGGTCGAGTTTAACTTCTGAGGTAGTTTTTTAGAAAATTCTTCAGTCTTCAGATACATTGAATCCATCCACCATGTTTTACTCGGAGGTTTCTTCAAGAACATGATGCATTTGTCACAGTAGATCGCAATGCTCTAGTATGAATGATAAAATTCCCTAAATACATTATACAGGCTGCCCAAAACTCTGACATAGATGTTTTGATATGAAGAACTGTTCAAAATGCATAGAAATTGAAAAGCTCCCCGAACCATAGAAATCCTCAGACATTGAATAAAATGCGTCAGTGTTTTTAATAGGAATTTTAAACAAAGTGGGTTTCCACAGTTTACCACTGCATTTTCCATGTTTTTCCTGCTAAAAACAAAGTGGAAATCGAATTATCAAAGTGGAAACCCATTTTGCTCAAGCGAGACCCACTAATCATTAAATACACTGCAATGCGTCCCTAACACTTTAGGTCGAAATCTACTTACAAGTGTAGAGAAATACAAAAGTTTTCTACACATCCTGTGAAGAACTCTAGGCACCGTCCAACATCATATCCCGTTTCACACAAAACTAACACAAAAATTCGATAGAAATCCCCGAAGTTTGCTAGACACTCTCTGAAGAACCCTAAAATCAGTTCTATCAGATCCTCCACGTTAAATTAGCTGTGCACCATAAGTTTTAGCCTTCCACAATGTTCCCGTCGAAAGTTATTCGATTTTTTTAATATGAAATCTACGAATCTAAGCATGTGCTGACCCGCACTTATGAACAAACCTTATGCATGGAATATCTCTTAAAAATTTAAACCAAACAATTCTAAAAAAAAGTAGTTTATCAATCTACAGTATTTCCAATGACTAAAGATGCGGGAAACACCTTTTCATCACTCAATTCCGTTCAATTCTATCTGAAAACAAGTTCAACGACCTTAACTTCCTTATTTTCTACAGTCCTCTACACTTTTTTCTTATTTTCGGCAAATTTTTTATCAATCCTTCTTTTATGTTCTTTTTTATTACTCTTTTTGTGTTGTTTGGCTTGAGTCATTTGTTACAGGTCAGTGACCTTTGATGACTGTCACTTTTCGTGAATAAAAACAGTCTTAGTCTTAGATCATTGGGATACGTATATCCGACGAACAGTTAAAGAGAAACCTCTATCATGAGGATGTTTTATACGTATTTCATACATGTTCGCAATGTCTAGCTCCCACGCATACGAAGCGTACGTTTCGAACGTGTAGTGTATGAAACATCCGAAACGCGTATATTTCGCGTAAAGCCCCTTGGGACATTCTGTGAGATAAAAAGGTATAGTAAAAGTCAATAGAGTTGTACAAGGATAGTCGCGTATACACTAGTAAGTTGATCCTTATGCTTTCCTATATTGTTCTCCACAAATGAATATGCATAAAGGTTTTGCTCGTCATTTTTAATAGTCCATTATCGGACGAATCAACTATGATATGTCATGGATGCAAAAAAATTAGTTTTAAATTTTGCTTCTTTGTTGATAAAAGAGAACTGCAAACGTGAATCAACGTGAATCAATCAAACTATAGCGGGGGATTTCAAGAATCTTGTCTTCCATTTAAAAAATGTGTTCCATTTTCAAAATCATAATATAATAGGGCAGCAAAGAAAAGCGTATATTAAGCTGATGTTGATTTTTTTACGAGGATAAAGTATTTTTCTGTTTTAATTCAGTGAACTGGTTCATTAGCAATAAATCTTGGATGTAAACTGAACTTTTTTTAAAGCAATGGCGACCATCTTTATCGGGAAAAACTGGCGGCTAGAATAGAACAAACTAGCTCTGATTACTCACTCCATAGTCAGCATTATTAACCAAAAACAGAAAGTGAATCGAATGCTTCTAGAACAAATCTTTCATGAGGCATGACTTCCTTCAAAACAAAACTTTCTAGTTCTTTCAGACTTTTCAAATAGATTTTTTCACTGTGGGATCAACGTCAGTGAGAATTTTATAGTTAGAATTTAAAATTCAATCAAAATTCACTTCACAGTTAGATTTACGGTTGGAAACACAGTGAGAATTTTAAAGTCACGGTGGCAATTACAGTGGATTTCAGCGGCAAGTTCGCTAGTCCACTGTACTATTAAAAATACTGATTGGGAGATCGAAATGAGTTTTCATTCTGAAACTTTAATTTCTGTCTGTTTTTAGTAGTCGAATTTCAATTTATTCTTCCTTCAATGTTTTTCCAACAACGGTATCTTAATAGCGTTCCTTTCTCTGTTGTTTCCTCTGTACGTTTTCTTGGTGTTCCCGCTTCACACACGATCTGCGGTGAATTAAACATGCCAGAGACAGGCGTGTCTTTGGATTTGCCTCCCTGATGCTCAGCGTCAATTCTTTCTTTTCAATTTTTTTCCTCTACTTCAAAGTTGATTAGTGTTGTGTCTCGTATGACAGTTCTTGGCTCTCTTAATAAACTTGCTAGACATGTTACCACTCATAATTCTGACTATCGTTCGTCTAGCTCTTTACTTGTGACTCAGCCTTCTGTTCCAGGTCATTCTGTTCGCCATAAATATTTTTGGCTGGTATAATTTTTTAAAATTTATCGTCGTCGTAGTCGTCTTTCTACCTTATATCCAATTCACCATTTTGATTACTCTTCCTTACGCTGTCATCATTCGAAATGCGTTCGTGTAAACGGTTTTTTCTTCTTCTTTCTATGCATCTATTACCAACTGAAGTAAACTTCCAGAATCGGTTATTTGTCTTCCTTCCCTGTCATCGTTTAAAACAGCATTATCAAAATATCTTCCACAGTAACGTTCACCGATGTCCTTAGTCAACTCTATTGTGTTATTCTTTTCTTTTTCCTTGTTTTATTTACATTGCTCTTTTTATTTTCCATATGTCTGTTCGCCGTTTCTTGGGTGTTCTTATTTTGTTTACTGTTGATCACTTCAACTTCTACTGTTTGCCTTGAGTCATTGTTATTATAGGTCCGGGACCTTTGATAAATCTCATTTTTCGTGAATAAATTATATTTATCATTATAAATTATAATAATAAATTATAATTCTATTATCATTAGGCAAAACGTACAAATTGCAGTAGTGGACTGTGGAGAATCACTTTGTTTAAAATTCTTGTTAAAAACATTGTTCTTCATGACCGATCCAATATTAATTGCGACTGATACATTAGGAAACGAAATGGTCAAACGAGCATTATAAATAATTCAAGTGGAAAAAGTTTTTGTTGGTGTGTAGATATTGCAATATAGCTAGAGTTTTCCATCTTCGATGTGCTGGACATACCTTCTCCGTCTTGCTGTTTACCATTTGCATTGATCTTTAAAATTATATGTTTTTTTCTTCATTTTAGAACTGCAAGTTTTTCGTTATTTGAATCAGGTATTTGATAATGAGTTTACTTAATCCACAATTCCTTCAACAACATTTCGCTCATATGGCTGGTGGCGGCGGAACAGAAACATTTCACGCTGAATATAATTGTTATTCAGCTATATTTCTAACCGATCGCGAACGTCCAAATGTTGAAAATGGTGGCAAAGTATTGTTACCGCAAACAGCATTAGAAGAATTAGCTGAACATGTAACAACTGTTATGTTATTCAGATTAAAAAACAAACGTCTTGATCGCATGACGCATGTTGGTGTATTTGAATTTCTTCCCAATACTGATACGAGTTGTTTTGTACCAAGTTGGATAATGAGACATTTATTATTGGAAGAAGGTGAACCAGTTGAATGTGAATATGTTACATTACCAACAGCTCGATTTGTACGTTTTCAACCGCAATCAAAAGATTTTCTTGATATAACAAATCCAAAAGCGGTATTAGAAACAGCATTAAGAAATTTTAGTTGTTTAACCAAAGGTGATATGTTGGCAATTAATTATCTTGATCGTAATTATGAATTATGTGTGTTAGAATTAAAACCAGCTGATGCTGTTAGTATAATTGAATGTGATATGGAAGTTGATTTTGCTCCACCCATTGATTATGTTGAACCTAAATATGATACAACGTCTTCATTATCAACATCAACACCCAAAAGTAATGATATACCCATTCAAGGTGGTACAAATACTGAACAACAATATCCAAATAGCTTAAAAGCAACAACGTTTATGCCATTTCACGGACGTGGTAATCGTTTAGACGGAAAAACAAAAACAAAAGAAGGACATGATTTACGTGAACAACAAACAAAATTACAAACAGCACAAATGTTGAATCAACAACGTGGTATGTAATGATAGCAACATAAAAATTGCTTATATCATACTTTTTTTAATTTTACGACAAGAAATATGAGCATAAAGAAAATAATTGCTAAATTCTGTTTTATTTGTTTGCAGGCATTCCCAACTATGAGTATGAATATGGTACATTACAATTTATCCATAATCCTTTGAGAAAAAATAAAGACGGTGATAAAGATAGTCAGAATACATCAGCAAGTGAAACATTTACTCCATTTTCTGGTGAAGGAAATATATTAAAACAGCCAAAATCACAACGAAGGCAATAACAGTAAACGTTTTTTCTTATTTCTTTTTTTTATCATTTGTTTTTTATTTATTTATTTGTTATAAGCAAGAAAAAAAGAAAGTAGATCTCTTTTTGCTTGACATTGTACAGGAAAGATTTTTTTATTAACGAAAATAAACACGGAGAATGTTTAACATTTTTATTTATTTATAGACGTTTAACGGAGAGCTACTCGAACATCGAAATATATACATAATCTTCAATATTTCTCTTTAGAAATTTATCTCAGTCTTCATGCTATTCAAAATCCTATAGAATCAAAGTTGCTTACTTTTGTAGGAGAAATTTTACGTTCGAAGATATTTTTCACTCTCAAATACGACTAAAAAGTAATTATTATTCAACTGTTTAATATCTTCGATAGAAAGAACAATGAATTACTGTGCTACTATGAAATTTGAATAATGCCTTTTTGTAGACGTGAAATTTTTTATAAATAACAGTGGAAAAATAATTTCATTTTTAGAAGAACTTGAGTCTTTTTAGAAACTAAACATGTTATTTGACGTTAATAAATTAATAATGTGTAAATGATTAAGAAAGATGTCCGTTTGTTAATGTTTCTAAAACGTTTCGAAATTCACCATCGGAATTAACACGTATGAGATTATCAGAATGTGATCGATAAGAAGTTGAAGATGAATAAGGATGTAAAGATGTGGCATGACAACGTTGTTCAAATGCTGAAGTTATGTCAGTGTTAGTAATAAGATTGCGATGATCATATGAATTATGTGGTGATGAATAACCGTATAATGATGAACTATAAGGAGTTGATCGAGAATTAAAATAATTATCGTTACTGTAGTGAGATATATGTGACGGATAGTTGATCGGTACTGGTGCTGATAATGAAGGTGGAGGAATTGCGCGAGATGCTTCATCAACCAGATATGTGAACTGAGGATTTGACCGATAAGAGTCTAATTCAGCTCCGTACTGCATACGATAATGTTCGGGATCAGCACGAACGACACCTTGATTTATAAATTGTCGATCTATACGAGCATTCGGAGAATCATGTAAGATTAATTCGTTTCGTTCTCGTACAATACTAGAAAAAAAAGAAGGAATTATTATTCTCACTAGTCTAATGCGGTTAGCTGTATAGCTGCGAAGTTTTCATGGACAAATGTGTTTTTTTTCTAGAAAAATTTTTTCTTTACTGAAAACATATAACAAGATACAAATGTAACAAAAGTTTTAGTTTAGTACATGATTATTATCTCTTCTTAGTCGTTATCAACTTATTAAAATATAAAAAATCTTTGATTTTTCTCTTTATAGTTATTAATAGATGACTCGACTGCTTACTTATAAGGTGCTATGTCTCGTTCATAGAATATTCTTCGATTTGGATTTTGACGATAGGGCAACCATCTTTCAATAACAATATCTCGAGGTTTTGGAGGTAGAGGAGCAAGACGTTCAACGACGATCTGAATAAGAAATAATATATCAAATATTTTTATTGTTAGTAGTGCCAAACTTAAGTTTAGTGTACTATCAGTAGTAGAGGTTATCAGTAGTACAAATAAGTTCTAAAATCTTTTACACTTCGAGGTAGTCTGGCCGGTGGTGGAAGCAATTTTTCAACAACTTGTGTTGGTTGACGTGGTGGTATGGGAGGCGGTGCTTCTCTTAAAAAAAACAAGTTAAAGTTTAACGGTCCTCGTTGTGCATATGAATTAATAATTAATGAATAGAACAATTTTCATAAACTGACCTTAAAATCAGTGGTGGTGGTGTAATCGGTTGTGGAGGTCGTTGACGATACTATAATACATTATTTTATTACTTACAAATATAAGCTTAGCTAAGAAAAATTTTACGTACACGTATTGGAGATTGAGGAGGTGGTGGAGGTGGTTGAATTTCACCTGAAATATCTCGTATACAAATTTAGTATTTGCGGAAGCTAAAGAGATTCGTCTTGTTTTTGTACTCACGGATAATAATTGGTCCAGGCGGTGGCGGAGTAGGAGGTTTAAGAAATCGTACGGAAATATTCTGTCGATATGTAATGAGATCATTTTGAAGACGCTTTTTGATAACTAATGGTGGTTGTTGAAAATGAACTAGATCCGTTCTAGATGATTGTGATGCCTCTGTAACTAATGGTAGCTGGTCTGAACCATGAATAAATGAATTATATGAATCGTTACTAGTTGAACGAATTCGACATTGTTGTTCCCCATGATTGTTGTAAAATTGTGGCGATATTGATGATGATCGTATCGCTGTTGTCGTAATCTCTGGTTGATTCAGTCTGTTGTCTTGTTCAATTATTGTATTTTTAGCAGATGACGGAGATGTGTTAAAAGTAGCTAGTGATTTATTAGTGAATCCTGTTGTAGTGGTTGTAATGGATGGCTGTAATATATCGTTTGTTGTGTTAATAAAATTTATTGGGTTTGTTCTAGGCGAATGAACAGATCCTGTTTGCCATTCTGATGGTGTTGAAAGAATAGATGTTCTTGATGAATCAAAGTTATTCAACGAATCTATATTTGAAAAATTTGTTGAATTAAGTAGCTCTGTTTTCCAACCGTTGGGAACGTGTAATATATGTCCTTCGGGAAACAATTCGTCATTTATCGGAAATCCAGGTAGACTGAGAGATTCTGATCGTTGATGAACTGCTGCATTATTAGCTGAATTTAAACTTTGCGTAGAATCTTGTCTAAACCGTCTATTTGTTGATGGCGAATAGATAAATTCACGTGTGGTACGTTGTTGCATATTTAATGGCTTATTTGTTGTTGCATTAGATACTTTATAACCTCCTAATCTTTCAAGATATCGTCGAAGTTGATATTCATCTTGGTTAGTTATCGTATAATCCGTTTGATTGCGTGTATTAGTCTTGTTATATTGAACGTTATTGTTTGTTAGCAAATCGACCATTTTTTTATTGTCCGTATTTTTTCTAAAGCATTTCTAGATGATAAATGTATGTTTAGTGTGGAATATAGTTATTCTATTCACACGAAAGAAAAAATTATCGATTGCATGTAAGGTTTTTCATACAGAGGAAGGTCAACGCGTAAACGGAAAAATTAGAAACGAGGTCGAAACATGCACACAGAAAACGGAAGATAAAGGTTAAAAACTATAAAAGATACAACTCACAATTATTTTAATTACTAATTTTCTTCCACGATTCTTTCAATATATAAACAGATACCTGTTTGATTCTGATCATTATCGATCTTGAAGTAAATATGTTTTTAAAGTTTATTAATAAGATGTATAAATTGTGTAAATGTATAAATTTCCATACTAGATAATATTGACAGAACTATGTTAACTGACTTGTTTTGTCATATGTTGTTTTGTTATGCTATGACAGTTTTTAAAACTTCTTCTGTATCATCTTTGAAGTGAATAAGTTTCTGTTATTTCCTGCTAACATTTCTATGCATTTAAAATGATTTACTCCATCATATAGTATCGATTATACGCTCGGAGTGCATGTATAATTCAGGGCTATTTGACTGTATAACACCAATAAAAATTGAAGGTGATTGTTTAAGTATGAGATTACCTATAGTGACAAAGGATTTATCCGATAAAATCACTGTATCGTTAATACCTATTCGATAGAGACAACGCGATACAGAATGAATTATATTCTTTTATGAATTTTACTTGTTGAGGCTTAAACTGTATATTTCAAAAGTTTGTATCATACTCAGAACAAAACATTGATTGAAATCTCTGTTGCCTTACCTTCATGCTTGAGCAAGTTTTTGTGGTTAATGGTAAAACATAACTCCATATTTAAGATAACCTTGCAAGGCCAATGGAAAAAGTGAAGAAAGAAATGTCTCTTCTATCTCAGAAAAATTATGGAACTCATATAAAAACAAGATTTACTATCATCGGATTGATAATCTTTCTAATAAAATATATCTATCTCATTTAAATATCAGCATCATAGTTTTATATTCGAATCAGACTTGATATATTAATTCATATGAAAACTTATCACTTTTACATTTGTTGAGAAGAAATGCATAGCATCTTCTACTAGGTCGGAGAAGATAATGAATTCAAGAAATATTATTTTAGCTAAAAATGTGCAACAGAAATGTGGTTAGATTATGTCTGATAAAGTATCTCTATTACCACTATATAATAGCAAGTTCTCTGAGCAGTCAACTGTGGATGGTGGTTAACTTGAAAGGTGCAAAAAACGCAAGAAAAAGAAATTTTGTTGTTGAGACAAGCGGAAAATTTTAATTAATGAATGAAGGTTGTCTACCAGATGCTTCGCTGTTTGCAGCAGTTCTGTAAGGTCTTAAGTAAAGTGCCCATATGGAAAAAAAGAATAGTTATTTAACATCTTTTAAGAAGTAAAATACCTCTATAGTTTGTTGATAAAGTTAGAATGAATCAATCATAAAGTTCAGCAACAATGTGAAGCTTGAGAAAATTGATGTTTATGCAATTTTCAAATGTTTTTTATAAACAGAAGTTACTCATTGGATAAAAGTATCATAAAACTAATACGAAAATATCGATGACATCCATACGTCGAAACATATTTTCGAAAATCCAGGAGCAGAAAAATTGCATCATCATCATCATCATCATCATTAAGACTTTGTACCCTTTTCTCCAAACTGTCTGTCTACTCATGCAAATATGTATGATTTTCAAAAATATGTGCTATTTTTCATAAAGTTTTTCAATGCATCTTTTTTAGATGTTATATTAAAAAAAGTTATAGTGCATATTTCAAGTATGTTAAAACCAAAGGCATTGAGTGACGTCTTAGCTCAAGTGACAGGTGGTGGTATTCAAAGTACAGTGTAAGAAAAAAAAGAGAACGAATATTATGTTATAGTCTTGATTAGGCTGAATTTTAATATTTTTTCAGACTTTTGACGCGTGATGGTGCTTTGTTAGCCTATTCTGGATTTGATGGTGGAAAAGATGCAAAAATTATTGCTGCCATGGCGAGTAGTATGTGGGGAGCACATCAACGATCACGCACCCCATCCACAATTCGAAATGGTGTTGGTTCTGGCGATCTTAACATGATTTTGCTGGATTCCGAAGTATGTATAAGACTAATTAATGAAAACAAAAAGAACTAAAAATCAATATTTTGTATTTCAGGAAGGAAAACTTGTCATTTCCGCGGTTGCCAATCAACTTTTATGTATGGTTTCTAAACCCAATGTCGAATTGGGCATTTTGAAAGCTAAAGTAAGTGTCTAAGTCAAGCTCAAACTAATTTCTATACAATATATTTTTTTGTATTATAATTATAGATGGATGCATTAACGTCATATTTACAAGAACCATTGCGTCAAGTATCACAAGGCAGTTGATTAAACGTGTTAAAATATTTTCGGTATTTAAATAAATATCCGGTTGCTCTATTGATTTTTATATGTGCACGTCGAGTTAGCCATTCATTCAGCTCAGCCAGTTATTGATTTTTGTTTTTCTACTTGTTTTCTTGTTCAAATCATTTTATATTTCTTATGGCCGGTCCTTTTGTTGTTGGTCCTTATACATAGTGCATGATCAGTTTCCGTTTCGGTTATTTTTTGTCATTTGCATTTTCTATACTATGATAGATGTTATCTGCTAATTCGCATATTCATTTTTGTTTTTTTTTGACAACATGTTTTTGGACCTTCTTTATCTTCAAATAAAGTTGTTTTTGCATCGTCAGATGGAAATTTTACAATTCCAGTGTTGAATACCACTTTTTTATTGAAAGTAATTTTCGATTCCTATGTTTAATAATTTTAAAAACTTGTCAAAACGACATATGACACTCTTTCTCGATTCAAAAGCTCAAATATATTTTCTATTTTAGATACATGCTTGAAAATGATACAAAATATATCCACATTGATACTCTATCTGGTATTAAATCAGTTATTTATTCTCATACAATGGATGCCCAATACGAATTAAAAAATCAAAGTGAAGTAATTGATAACAGTAATGACGAAAATCAATCGTCAAACGTTAATGAAATTGCATCAGATGAAATAAATTTGGATGAAGATGAAAAAGATCCCATAATTGCTGAAGTATCTAGTTTGTTTTATAGACCTATTTTATCTTTCGTACTGTATATCCGTTCTTTCTAGGTTAATGTTTATCTGACTCGTGTATTTTCCGATCAGCTCTATTTGTTTCAATATCCTTTACGTTCGAATCATTTGCAATTTGAAAATGATGTCACATTTGTCGGAGCACGTTTAAAACCAAAAAATAAAGTTGTTCAGTTAGATTACATGCTCGATACTAAATCAAAGTTTTATAGTAAAAAACGCAATTCAATAATAACAAAAAATTTGTCATCGTCCGAAGACGCAAAACAACAACAAACCGTTGATCTTTTAACCCTATCATCGACGAATGTTACAATTGGAGAATCGTATAAACGTTTTTCTATTGGAATATTAACACAAAATGGTTTACATCTGTCTCCACTAAATGCCATATTTCAATTACGTTCAGATTTTGATTCTACAATGTCTATTATCACAAAAAATGCTACATTATCATCGATTTGTAACAAAACAATAATACACGATAGTGATGATGCTAGTGACGATGAAAATAATCTTGAAGAATCGACTAAAACAAGTACCGGAACAGACACAGAGGATGAAAGCAAATATAATAAAACAGAATTAGTAACAATGAAATTTTGGCGACCTGAAACATTATATGTACGAGAAAAAAAGATACGTTCATATAATTATCTGATGCGTAAGCGTAACGAAGAAAAATGGCTGGATTTTGCTTATATATCACACAATGAACAATTAGCACATAAATTAAGAGAAAAGTGGTGTCAACAAGACTTGACTAATAACAGTAATTCAATAAGAAGAAACACAATAACAATGAAAAATTATTTCGAACTATTATTGAATAAACAGGTTCAAAAAAGTGAAACAACATCATCCACTAGAATATTAAATACAAATGAATCTGATCATGTAACTGAAAAATTAGTTGAAGAAAATACAAAAAAAGGGGAAAAAAAGTCGAAACAAACAAAACAGACAACTCCAGCAAGAAAAAAAACAAATACTCCCAAAACATCTAGGAAAAGTAAACATAATTTATTGTATTTATTCAAATACAATAATTCATCTATTTTAGATCGTACTGGTACCAGTAAACTCACTGATTCTTCTTCAACAATAAATGCAACAACAGCAAACGAATCCAATTCTACCTCTTTAGCTATAGCAACGTTGACAAAACCAGATCCCGAAGCAATACATGGCGAACTTGTATCATTTATGAAACGACGTTTTGGTTATAGACCATATTTTAAATTAAGCGAAATAAATATCGCAATTAAATTAGAACTAATTTCATCACCACCTGGACATGTATTAGCTACTGGTGTTACAGAACCAAGTATCATCGCGGTTGCCTCAGAACTTGGAGCAATCCACATTAACAAAAAAGTAAAAAGAAAATAAATAAATGTTTTCTCTGAAAAAAGAATATTTATTTTTCTATTTAAGTGGCCGAAAAATCTTAAACAAGAACCCGTTTTTCTAAATGCACAAATGGGTGATAAATATGATATTGTAAGTTAATTTTCATTTGTTAATATAACGTTAATTGTTTGTGTATTTTGTTTTTTGTTTAGCTTCGAAAGTATATAGCTGATTTACTTGAAAAATGCGATAGTTTTAATTTTACAGATTTTCGAGCAAGAATAAAACGTGAAAATAAAGCACAATTATTTCCTCTTAATGAAGTGAAAAAATTTGTGCAGGTATATTAATGTAGCAATATATAACAGATGAGTATAACTTTCAGAATTTAAGATACCTTTAGAACTTAAAAGGCTGTTTGAGTAAGACCAGGGATCTCAGAACTTCGTATTTTAAAAGAAAAATTCTGATTTTTCGACTTTTTCAGATCTGAAATTTTTACACTTGTTTGAATTGAATTAAAAGGTGACTCAGAACGAGCACATCGTATCACAGTGATACTACTTTTATTCAAACAGACATTGCAATCATTCACTTCAACTTTGCATGAACACAAAGATAGTAAGACATCTGCTACTTATTAAATAAGGGCATAAAATAAGCACAGTCTAACTTTTCTTGATTTTGAACTGTTTCTGGTTTTTTTGTCTTTTGAATCTGGTTATCTCTGAATAAGACAAACATATATACTTAATATTAGATGCATTCGACTTGTTTTGTATGCATGAGATTCGTCATATATAGGGATGTAACGGTAATTTACCGTCGGTAGTGATAAAAAATTATTTTACCGAAGTTTACCGTGGTAAAATTTTGAAGCTTTTACCGTATGCTGGTAACGGTAAAAAAATTATTGTTACCGAACTTCCATTTTGACTTCTGAATAAAAACATTAATCATACAAGCTTCGGTAGTTTACCGTCGGTAACGGTAAAGAACTTTTTTTTCGAAGTTTACCGCGCTAAAATTTTGAGTTTTACCGGTCTGAAATTACCGTGGTAAGAATCTGATATTGCTATCGAAGCGCGGTAACACGTTTTTACCGTTACCGCTGATCTCTAGTCATATATGTTAGTCTTGTTATTTTATAGTGCCTTGTAATGTCTAAAGGTGTCTTAAAATTTTGAGAGCTTAGTAATCTTGTCCTTAACAATGAATTTTTTATCTTAGGATCACTGCATAACTCGATCATCGCGAAAGGGTTTAGTGTATTGTATCAAAGGAACTGTTCAAAAATAATCTCGTGTGAAACAAGATTTTTCTGTTCAAACAATTGTAATAATTATATTCGGGGAAACTTCTTTTACATGAATGGTACATATGATTTTTCAATTCCTTTTATAGCCTTCTCTTGTATAAGATTTTCATTTCGCTTTTTCTTCTGTGTAATCTATCAAACTACTTACATAGTACAACACGTTTTTTGTGTTTTATTTTTGCTGTATTAAAATTATTTGTTGTTAGATTTGCAATTTACGTTATTATTTTTTCGAAAGTAAATCAATGTAAATCGTTTAAAGGCTTATTTAAAACAAAAATATATTAAAATGGTAATTTAGCTTAACTTTTAAAGAACCAATCTACTGGTTTATAAAGACGCAGAAAATATCGTTTTTTTTTCAAACTGAAAAAAAGTATACAATTCATCGGAGTCTTCATGAGTTAAAATGAGATTGTCATTGGAGCAGTTCTTCCGGAGCAAAAACGGTGCTTATCAAATGCGAAATATTTATCTGTAAGTGATGACATTAACAAAAAAGATAGCCAATATAAAGTTAACTTTAAAAAGATTAATGCTGACGAAACATCGCTAAACACCGTATAATATCACTTTCTTTGCTGTATATATCGCTTTTCTAGAGAAACATTAGCACGACGTTCAGATGTTTATTTTCATATGACTTGTCGATATTTTCATTTGATATCCGTACAACTAGATTCTCACATAAATGCATACATCTAAACGATAATAATTGTTGACAACAAAAAGAACTTTAGAAAAGAACAAAAAGAAAAAACACATTCCTTTTAGTCAACAAAAATGATACGCTTACAATGATAAAAGTTTGAATTGTTTCTTTACGACCATTTTTTTTTCAAAGAAAACTGAGAAATTATAGCCAAAAAGAGAAAAAATACACAATCAGTAACAAACAACGAATAAATAAAGACCTAACCGGCAGCATTTTGTCATGACTTAAATAAAACAACAACAGAGATACGATAAGCACATACATAAAAAAACACCTATGTATCCCAGTTATCTTAAAACGAAGAAAACAGTATTTGCATGAAAATGAAACATCACATCTTTCGAAGAAAACTAAGAGAGTTTAGCGATGCCCTGTATATTTCATCGACTAATGCAAATTACTTATCGAGTCAATCAGATAGACCATGAAATAAAAGCTGAAACGAACTCGGAAATGTCCGTCTTAAAAACACACACACATGATCTTGAATGTAAAGATGTTTGTTGTATGTACAATATAGATAGAGAAATAACGCGAAAAAAAGTTTATCACTGAAAATATATTGCTTTCATGAAATCTAGAGAGGAATAAACAAACGAAATAAATGATCTTTAACTAGTTTTGATAAAAATTTCGTTGCTGATGTTGAGAACGATGATAATCGTTAGTGTTGCTGTTGCCATTATTGTATGTTGGCTGTCTGTTATAATCTTTTCGACGTTGATAATACGAGTTGCCAAATGTTTCTTGATTTTTTGTTCGATAGTTTGGGTTTTGTCCATGGGCACCATCAATACCGCTTGACGTACTACACGAGATACTATCAAAAAAACTTTTCTTTTTATCGTATGTATATGCTCCATCATTACTCTGGCTACTGTTCATATTTTTCGATGATTTATTATTCTGAACATTATTTGTTTGTGATAATGAAGTAGGATAATCCGTTGGTGGTAGGTGTTGTTTAAATTCACTTTCACTAGCTATTTTATCAAATTTTAGATTCGCTAAAACAAAATTTGAACAAATATCACATATTTTACTCAAAAATTTCGTCCCAGTGAGACATGTTTTGCCATCACTGTGAGTTTTTTTAGTAGGAAATATCTTCTGCGAAACTAGAAACTCAGACAATCACCGCAAACGTCTTCAAATAACATTTTACATGATACAAGATATTTGCGTCTAGATTTAAGGAACTCAGTTCAGTGCCAAATTCAAGACAACTTCCTGCACAACTTTAAAAATCAATCAACTAAATATATAAAGCAATTGTGTCCAAGTCTAATAAATTTAACACTTACATTGATCAAAATCAAAATCTGATTCAAATGCAGAATCATTGAACGTTTCTCGGTTTTGTTTTGGGAATGTTTGTTGCTGATAATTATTATTTCGACGATTGTTTCCCTGATTATGGAATTGGCGCTGTTGCTGATGTCTTTGTTGAGGTTGATATCTTTGCTGATATTGATAATTTGATTTTCCGCCTTGATAATCATTTCTTGTTTCATATGAAGAATAACGATTAAAGCCACCATTATCGCCAAAGTTATCTTGTTGTTGATATGATTTCGCTGTTTGAGAATAAGGATGATTGTTAAAAACTGATCGATCATCACCATTATCATTCGATAATAAATTGTTTGCTGTTTGCATTGAATGAGTTATATAATGATTACCAGACGATTCGTTGTTTTTAGAGTCACCATAATCACAAAATGGTTGAAAATAACGATCGGTAACACCTGTCTGTAAATTTTTGTTGGTATCAGAACTGAAATTATCGAAAAATTTGCTTGTTGTTGGGTCCAACTGTTTTGGTTTAGTTTCCCGTTTTGATGTAGGGAGCGACTGGTGTTCTAAAATAAACAAATAACAAAAATGAATTAAAATCTAAACATGATACTCAATTTAGTTCTGTATTTACTGGAACCTAGTAATCATTTATCTCATCCCATTTGCTCCGAACATGAATGAGCCAGAGAAACTACTTAACAACGAGAAAAATAAGTCCGAAATGAAGTCGTATAACACTCAAACATACTAAGGAAACAAAATTTGTTTAACATAGAAGTACACATTTACCATTTGAATAACCAGAATTTGTTTTCGCTGATTCACCATCAATTGAGAAATTTTGTAAACTACGTATCACATTTGGCATTGATGGATTCGATGGCATACCAAACGGCGACGCACCTTGTTCTGATATTTTATTTGTAACAACACTCAGTACAGCAGGATCATCGTGTATTGACGGAACAGTAGGAGAAGGTAATGATTGATGTTCTTGGGTTTGTTGTTGTAATTTCGCGTCATTATCACCGATTTTCAAATCTTCTATATCAGCATTTTTAAATGACATCACCTAAAAGGGCTAACTATAGAAAGTAACTCTAATAAGACGAGTACAATATCAGCTATTGTCATATGAGAGCAGAAAAACGCACCGGAAAGTATGTTGGGTTTGTTGTTTGTGGACCACCTTCAGAACCATAACATTTAACAGAACCGAGTAAAACGGCTGATGAATCTGCATCAATCCCAACAATTGTTCCAGAATAACGAATTTTTGATTTGGTTATTAATGTGATATTAGAACCAATGAAACTTGGCATGTTATCAAGAAAACAACGTTCAAAATAGGAGAATAAAATAAATGAAAGAACTTTCAACTGAAAAAAGTCTGAAATCAAAAACAAACATAGTTGAAATGACAGAGAAGATAGGAAGATGTATTTCCACAGAAACACAGACGAAATAAGAGTTGTCTTGCAAAAATACAAACCTTACTTATTACTACAGTTAAATCAGAGTCTCAAGAGAAAATCTGTCGAACTCTGCTGCACGAGGAAAAGTAATGTCTGTTTCATGATTATTGTATAATGGCTGCAGCATTCTCGACAACAATCGAACAGAAACGCATATCATCCACTAATGCAAAAACCTAGTTATTCACATTCTCCCAATAGGAGTCCGTTGTCGATTCTATGACATGAACATAGGGACGTTAGCCAATCTGAACCTGAACGGCGTGAGAAGAGAAAGAATTAATCGACGGCGGTAGCTAAAATAGGTACGCCTACTTTGATGGACGGAAACAGAGAAAGTTAGACCAATTGTATTTTTGTGCTGTGCACTGTTTTTTTAAACACAGACATTATGATAAAGAACAGCAAATGTATATGTGTATATGGCAGTGTAACACATGTGTATATAGGAATAAAATTCTTTAACAATACTGAGGATAATTTTAGACAACGAACTTTCCGCCGTTACGGGCAAGCGAAAAGAGGTTATTATGAAGAATGGGACATTGCGACAGAATTTTTATATAATCTAGAACGGAACCCATGCTCAACTTTTAGTAATAACGCTGTCAATCTGTGAATGGTTTCGTGCCAGCTCAATTTATATATTTTAAGATTAACGAAATATAAGATAAATGGAGCTAAAGCTATGCATTGAAACTTAACTTAAGCCGGTACGATCAGCGTAAAATCGTGTAAATACTATCGACTAGATCCAACTTTCAGTTCTTGTATAATCATAACTTAAATGAGCAATTTCTATTTTCTATGATTATATTCTTTAATTATTCGAAGCCATCGAAAACAAAGAAAAGAAACGTTCACCGAACTTTTTATTTCTCATTGGCGAAAAGATCTTCCCTTTCTTGTTTTGAGATAAAATATGGAGCGAAGAAAAGAAAAGAGAAAAGAGAGTGATATGAGTGAATGAATGAATGAATGATTATTGATGTAACTAGCGAACCCACTTTTAGGTAGATGCAGAAACTTCAAAAAAGTGCTTCAGAAGAAGGTAAATAACGCTCTGATACAGAGTATCTATTTCTCAACGTGAAAGGATTTCTAGAAGATTATGGTAAGAAGAATATCAGTTTTTAGATCAAGAGAAAAATTACTTTGTTTTATATTACTAGTTTTTCAGCATATAACCCATCTACATCTACATCTACACTATATTTACAATGAAGAAATACTCTTTCCGAACACATATAAAATAGATTTTTCTATCTCTAGGCAAAATAAACTAATAAGATAAATTTCCGATGTAAAAGAGTAGAGTGCTTATAATGAAAATGTATGCCGCTACTTCGCGAATTCAAAAAGATACTCATTTTATAACAGAAATCGACCTGAGAAAAGCAAACCAAACTTATAATACCGGACGAGAAATTTCTGCTATTCAGAGTTGAGATAATCTCAATCCAATGTTTGAAAAGTTTGAAAAAGCTGATCCAATCCTGGAAGTCTTATGAATCTACATTATGAGTTTGGGTGATCTGTGACGATCTCTGATTCAACAATTAGCAGCACTATACGAACTTTTACGTATTTTATTTGGTTCTACAAACGCCAAGTGGTAAAATGTCTGACGAGGGAACCTCTCGAAATGATTAAAAGCTTTTCGACTCAGACTATTTTCATCATGTAGGGAATAGTCAGTAGTGAAAAACCCCAAGTTGGTTTGGGCCCATGCGCCTTTTTGACAGAGAATTTTCACTAAAAACTGTCTAAATCATAAAAAATTCATATCTTGCAAAAGCTTTGGTTTATAAGCCTAAAAGTGTTGCAGTGAGTAGACAACATCTATCTTCAACTATGGTATAAATTTCCGACTCCTAGCTGATCATGGTCGTGAGCTATTAATTAATTATTATTAATGGCATTTTCATTAATTAACTCATATCTCTGTCAAAAAGGCGCATGGGCCCAAACCAACTTGGGGTTTTTCACTGCTGACTATTCCCTACATGATGAAAATAGTCTGAGTCGAAAAGCTTTTAATCATTTCGAGAGGTTCCCTCGTCAGACATAAGCTCAAAAGTAGTCTTAGGTTTTCAATAAACTTCGGTCTTTAACCTGCTACCACTATAACATAAGATTCCACAGGATCAAAGAAGTAACCAAGATCAAATCTTCGATTGTTTTTTTCTGTTTGAAAAATGTCACCTAAAACAAAAACTATAGCAAAAATACTAGCAAACCTTTTCAAAATCTTGTTTTCTCACAGGAAAAATCGTATAATTCTGCTAACTTATCAGCCACACGTAAGAATATAGAAAACTTGCTCCTATAATTTGTTGCTTTTTTCGGAAAGCAAATATACATACACGTAACCATGGGATAAATAATAAACAAAAAAACCAGGCCATTCTTTGACTGTTCGCACATGAAGTTTAACGTATTTTACAAGATTAAAAATCAAGGTGAGAAAGCAGATATTATGTATATTTATCTAGTTCCAATTTATTAATGTTCTAATATTGCTCGTCCCACAAAGACAGTTTAAAATATTATCGTTGCTGATGTTGTATCTGTTTTGTATAGTCATCATAAATCTACGTAACTGAATCGGTTGGAAGAGCTCTCATTTGACACACATTACGCAACTACGAGTAGCAGTTGACCTTCTGAGACCAGTGGATAGTAAAAACAAAGTTTATTCGATTTAATGAGCCACCTGAACATTTGATCAAAAAACTGCGCAGGAGGAGACGAACACTCTTAAAACGTTGGACTAGGTTTGTTTATCTTATGCAAATCAATTCTGTGAGGCATGCTCCATACAAAAGACATCGTATTTTGAGAGTTTTGGGAAATGTAGATGAACGTTTGTTCAAAAAGAAGTCTGTAGAACCTGAAACTTTAGATGCCTCTAAATTTTCTCTGATAAAACGTGAGAAAATATAAAGTGCAAAATCACGAAACACACCTTACTTCATAAATAAATATTTATTCTTAAGACAAGAGGGATTCTATTCTAAAGCGAATTCTTGACTATAAATAGAGTAACTGATACCGACGATGAAACATTTGCTCTCTGGTGTCGTTCACCACATGAACAAAATCACAACAGAATGAAACAGGCAACGGTTTCAAGAAATATTGCAAAAATCAAAAAAAAAGGTGACGGGACATTTAGTGTGAAATGATGTTTTTTAAGAGTAATATGCAATTTTCTCTATCAAGAAAATGTCAGGATCTCGAAATTTTCATAATTGGTTTCTTCGTGATCGGAAACAGAAAAAGATGAAGCTGTCATCCATACTTGTAGTTCATAGTACTATTTATTATTGCATTTGGAAAAGCTCGTTTTAAATTAATAATATTCTCGTCGTCGAGTGTCGTCGTTGGTTCTTCCTTTTGGTACAACTTTTGACTTTAGTAATCTGATGACATATTCTTCGAACGTCCTTATCGTCAATGAGCTCTTTCAAATATGCGCCATGGAATACTTCTTTTGAGAGAAGTTTTTTAACATTCGGCATAAGTAATAATAGATGTTTAAAATAGATGAATTCGATTTTATAGAATGATAATATTTTTAGATGTTTTCTGTTTGCAAGTGTAAGTTTGATATTATCCATGAGCTTCTGCTCAAATGTTCCCAATCCCACGTCTAAAACTGTTATCTGAGGAAACATTTGTTTAATGAACTGAACAGTTGTCAGTGTAATCGGTTGAATATCACTGAATGTAATGAGTTCTATATAATTTTACATATTATAAATTGATATATCAACCACGTTCGATCGATAATTGCAAATATCGTTTGTCATCAACATAGTAGATTCTAACCAGCATGGCAGTGATATAATACAAAAGAAGTTGTAGCACATGCTAGGATAATTATGGCAAAAACTATCATTGAAAGTATCAATAACAAACGGTTTCTGAATAAAGAATTGAAAGTAAACTTTTGGAATTTTTGGTAATTGAGGTAAACCTTCGAGCGGATTAGTGACTATCACCAATGCCAGACGTTATAAATTAAGACAACTGAACAGAAATGACTCAAGTGTGTCGTATTTTATCGTTTTGGTTACTTTCAAATTGATTTCGGACAAATGAGGCAACGAGGGAGTATGTTTTAACGCTGCTACATCTTTCACAACCATTATATGCAAGTACTCAAGGTGGGGTAAATAGTTCAATAATGTGAACATATCGTGCAGACCTTCAAGTTGAATTGTTAAATGCCTAAGAACTTTGTTTGGTCGAATTCTATCAGCATCGACGGACAAAATGACTCCATCGATAATCAAAGTTTCTATTGCGCAATCAGATTGAAATATGTGTGAGCATATTCCATTATTCAACTGTGGATCAGTACTATCCGTAGTAGTGTTAAAATGAAGTTTCAAAATCGTTAATAATTTGAAGATTTTTAGATAGGGCATACGCAGACAATGTGCATATCGTGGCTCGCCCGTATTCACCAATAATAAAGATTTAGTTCGTGGAAATATATCGTGAATATTTTTTGTTATTGGGTTAAAAGGCATAATAGAACACAAATCCTTGTCATCTATTTTTATTTTTTCAACCATGTCTCAAAGGTTTGGTATTTAAAACCCTAAACTTTAGCAAACTTTTGTGTCAGACATAACCAGTTTTATCTGTTCTGTCCGAAACTAGTGTTGAATTTTATCAAATTTAAAAATAAGCCGCTGGATTTGGTAGGGTTTGGTGAAAAATGAAGAAAAACAGTGGTTTTCACCAAACCCTACTAAATCCAGCGGCTTATTTTTAAAGGAGTAGTCCGCATAAGACTTGAAATCGGCCCACTAAATTATTGTTATTTTATTGCC